GAACTGTACTTGTGCCTAATTGCCATGATGGAATAGATGCTGGAGCACTGGGAAACTGTTTTCTATTTAAAAATAAATATAATAAAATAATAAATGTATGATAACGCTCTGTACAATGATCACGATTTCCATATGTAAAATATAAAGAATACTAAAGTACAAGATTACTATTTGTTATAATCATTTATATTATAGAACATTTTATGTCTCCAAAATAATATATAATATATGTTAATGACAAACAGATACCTTGACAGAAGGAGTGCTTTTAGACTAGATAGTTCTTGTTTCAGTTCTTGTACAAGCTGTGGAATTGCTATATCGATCGATTGATTTTGTGATAATCTTTTTACATCGATCTCCACCTTCGAAATTGAATCTTTCATCTCTTTTATAGAACTTTGGATTGCCTTATCCAGTTCAGTAACAGAATCTGTTATACTATCTTTTTTCTTACGACCATATAAAAATGGTTTAATAAATTCCTATAAAAATTGCAAAAAAACATTTGATGCCTTACTTTACAGATGATAAATTTTGTCAAAAATGTTTAAATAATATACCTTATAAAACCAATAAACACAATACAATGTAGCTCCGATCACAGCGGTGACATTAAAAAATTCTTTAATTTTTTGTAATAATGTGGACTGAGAGGATAGCATTTGGAAGTATGGATAAGGAGGTCTATTATCTGGTATTGATATCGTTGTGTATTCATTTTGATTTTCGAATTTCCTTTCCTCATTAATATCAATACCGACTAACTCGCAAGCTCTTTTAATTTCTTCTTCTGTTAAACCTTTTCTTTTAAGAAATTCTTGCTTTTTATTGAATGGAGTTCTTGAAACTTTAGGATGTTGAAAAAATTGTACTGCCGCTTTTACCTTTAACAGGAAATTACTGTTAGAGATAGAAATAATAAATTTAAATAAAATATTAATTACATAATGGTACAAAGTACAATTAATAAATTTTTAAATCGAAAATGACATTACGATAAAATCTACATCAAATAAAATATTTATTTACGTTTATATTACAAGTGTATAAAAACTATTATAATTATATAAAATTTACTTACTAAATCTTCACGCAGGCAAGAATTATTAATATCAGATATATCTTGACCAGTCATTCTATCAGACAATAGTTCATATTCTTAATATAACTTTGTATTATTTATTATACGGAGAATATTGAAATCGTGTTTTATGGTAATAAGTAAGTGGTACCAAATTACCAGAAATGATATTTATAAATATTCATGAATACCTTGGAAACGCCTCAAAAAAGTATAATACGCATTTGATGATAATTTATAATCGGTAATAGTTTTACATTCTGTACGAAGTGTTATTAAAATTTTAAGTAGAACTTACAAGTTTTTCCTTTTTTTCATAAAAATATCGTATGTTGAATGTTATGAATTTAACCACTAAGGAGCACGGATAACAGCATGTTAGGGCCAATCAGTTCACTTTATGTACAATGGAAGCTTGACTATACTTTTAATTTTGTATGCGAGTTATTGCCTCCCTGAAATAAGGTAAAATGTCGCCTCTTATCATCTTTTATTTAAACCTTGTAGGCCGTGTTGTGTCGCATTTTAATCTACGATCATTTAATCTGTGATAAAATTAATTAACCTTCACATAAAAAAACCCATATAAAATACAAATATGTTTCACAATGTAATTACGATATTTTTTTTATATTTTTATCTTTATTTGTTTCGATAAATTTGATTTGTCGTTGATAATTATTAAAATTCGATCTAATGAAAAATTATCATGGTTCTCTTTAGCATTATACATCATTGTCTTTGCAGTATAATTACGGGCGATAACCAAGGGCAAATAAAAACTAGATATATAATAGAAGAAAGAAGAGCTAGTGCATTTCATTTGAAGGAACTATCTATAAACAAAAAGAATATAAAAAATTTGTAAAAGAGATATGAAGAAGATTATAATCTCCGAGAGCAGTATTGTGATAGTAAAGCCGTTTAATATTGTAAACCAAAAATCTTGAATTTATTAGCTAAAGTTACATATAATTAACAATACACGATTTATTAATGTCAGCAAAAATGCAGTGCAGAATTGATGATTTACCGGATGAATTGTTAGAATATATTTTAAGTCTTATTCCTCCTTATAAAGATTTGCAAGAATGTAAGCTTGTCTCAAAACGATGGTTTCGTGCAACTAAAAGTATGTATATTATAACTGAAATCTTGTTAATAATGTTCTTCATCTGTAATAATTGTCAAACGTATATTTTATTATATAGATGTTATAGAGCACAATGAGGCACACTTTCGCAAAGCTGTATCATTTGGTGCTTTGTTTTGGAGTCTTTGGCCAAAAAAAACTCGAATGCCTACGATAAGCAAAAGACATTCTCATTCAGCCTGCATTTATGAAAACTCCATGTATGTATTTGGTGGATGTACTGCAACTTCTACTACATTTAATGATTTATGGAGATTAGATTTAGATACAAGAACTTGGGTCAGACCAATCACAATGGGCAGCTATCCATCACCAAAGGCTTGTGCTACTATGTTGTATTACAAAAAGAGTTTCGTTCTGTTTGGTGGATGGTCTTATCCTTCTCGTTATCCTTTACATCAGGTACAAATAATCGTTTTTATTTATTTCGTATGACACATTCTTCATAATATTTCCTTTTTAGCAATGGAAGCTGTTTAATGAATTGCACGTCTACTCGATAGAAACAAATAAATGGAATGCTATCAACACATTAGAAGCACCACCACCTATGTCAGCTCATTCCGCAACAATTCATGGAAACAATATGGTTGTCTTTGGTGGTATTCATTGTGGACTTCGGTAAAAGCTTTTATTATGTCGCATCTTAAATTCTTTCAATCGAATTGAGAATTCCTGAAATGCTTTGAATTTTTTTGAGGTAGTTCCAATGACTTGTGGTGTTTAAACTTGGATACATATTCTTGGCATAAACAAACCACAGCAGTTATAAAGCCACGACCACGTTATGGCCAATCGCAAATTCATTTAGGAGACAGGCATATCCTTGTACTAGGAGGTTGTACCGGTCCTAATGCAGCCATGAATGATGCTTGGTTATTAAATATGACAGAGCCAACATGGAAATGGAAAAAAGTAATATTATATCACCCAGAATGGGCACCGGCGCGTATTTGGTGTCATCAGGCTTGCAAGGTGGCATATAATAAATTCATTTAAAACATAATCGATCAATTTATCATCATATAAATATATATATATATATATATATACTTTCGCTTGTTAGGTTGGAAATTATATTGTTGTGTTAAGTAACAACAAGCGACATGCTAAAGTAAATGACATGAGCATAGCAATGAAAAATGTTACCTGTCAAAGACCATCCAGATTACCTGACGTATCTCCTTTGCAAGAAAGGTTTGTGATATTTTACGATCTTTCAAATCTTACATTTATATACAATGTTCTTAAATAAATCTTTTTCTCAGTAAACAAAGACATAGAGCAGACGTAGATACGGATGAAAATGTGAATGGCCGGCATGGGTCTTTCTCAAGATCACCCTCACAAAGTAGAATGAATAATCCACCATCGCGAAAATCAAATTTTTCTAAGATCGTGCCATTTTGTTGTGACAGTACACTGAGTATGGCAGCATTTCGTGATAAACCAACTAATAATAATTTGAGTATCAATCGGCAGCGCCAATTAGAATATCTTAAAAAGATGGAAGAAAAGATCAGAAGTAGAAAGATACAAACGAAAGTTGCAAAAAGAACAGAGAATACGTTATCTATATTTATTTTAGATATAAGCAAAGTACTTTGTGATGAATGTAGTGCATCTTGGGTTCCCTTGAAAGAAATTGATCAATCAGGACCAGACGAAAGAATTTTGTATTCGCTTGTGATGGGAAGAGGAGAATTAATTGTCTTTGGAGGTATTCGCAAAGAGCAAACTAATATGCAAACTCAGCCAGATGTGGATGATTTAGAAGTGTATAATGATCTGCATTTTATAAATCCACCAAAATATATTATATAATATTATATAAACGTGAAAGCTTGGTTTTCAAGATTCCTATGTGTGAGAACGAAATTAAAATTATCATCTTTATTAATTTAATAGCAATATGGATATATGATAGCACCAATGTCACTTCATGCAATTTTATGTTACTAATAGAAAATGTCAATATTTATTTGCGAATTATGTCGAAATTTGATTGGAATCGATATTTAATCTCTGATAGTAATTGAATTGAAAGAAGACAAATTTTAATGTTTCTTATCTCTTATTAAAAGACGGAAATACTATGGAAGTTATTCACTTCTAAAACTATAGATGTAAGGTAATGGAATTGATGTGATAATAATTTTAAAATACAAGAGAATCAAATACTTCGGACATAAGTTATTTGATTGCAAAATTTTTATTCAAACATTTTGTTCTATTTTCATAAATAGAGTATATTTCAAATATCAAACTTGCAAATTTTATAATTTAATTTATTGATGATCCTATATTATTTTTAATAACAAATGCGCGCGTGAAAAATCATCGATCTATTAAATATTAAAATTATGTACATTATTTAAAATAATTGCATAAAAAATCAATACAGACTCATATGTATTTCTAATTATATACACAATCTCTCTCTCTCTCTCTCTCTCTCTCTCTCTCTCTCTCTCTCTGTATTAGTAATAATAGTATATAAAAATGATATTTATACGAATATTTGCTTAAAAGAGAGCTTTCTAAATGTTCCTTTAAATGATGGAATATAATTTAAAGTGTATTATACATGTATGTATGTACATACATTCAAAATTATCTGCAAATATTAATATAAAATTTTCTCGCTATTCAAATAAATCTTATTGTCAATTAACAGTGCAATATTAAATAACAAAACAATTTTTTTCTGGTTTTAGATCATTCAGTCTAATCGTGGTAATAGATTAATTAATTACTTCTTTTAATAACTTGAACTGCACATTATATTTAAATACATTGATTGTAATGAATAGTACATTCACTCATCTTCATTTGTGTCATTGTCTGCTGTTTTTAAGCTACCAAATACTTGCGATGGAATGACTTGTTTTTCAATAGACATTTCTATAACAAAAAAAAAAAAAAAAAAAATAAAAAAAAAAAAATAAATAAATAAAAAAACAAAAAAGAAAACATTTAATTATATCATAAGAAATAATAACATATATAAGTAAAATGATAAGTAGAATACAAGATTTTTTACCTTCTTCAATCTCTTCTTCTCCTTCATTTTCATTATCATCATCCATATCCATATCAATATCAATTTCATCTGGATTATTTACACGTGATGATTCTTTTCCATCTGTTTCTGTTATACCACGTACAAATTTAATAGTATCCTTCAATCCAGATTGAGTAGTTGTGTCTGAAAGTAAAGAATCGATTGTCATATAATTTCTACCTACAATAATAATAATAATAATAATAATAATAATAATAATAATAATTTTATTACAATTATTAAAATATTTACCAGAGATTTTATTATCTAGCGCACGCATACTATCAATTTGTACACCAGACACTTGATTAGATACATTATTCAACATTTGAGCAGACATCATATTCACTTGGGTGTTATACATGGCTTGCACACTACGTTTGATTCTAAGCATTTCACGCATCGTATCTTCATTTCCATGCTGTACTTCAAATTCCTTCCACACTTTCCAAAAGTTCGATGATACCTTTTTAATATAAATATAATATTATTAATATAATTATTACGATTTTTCATCGCAAATTGATCAATCTAATTGATTCAACATACCCTAGGATCACATATTTGACTACAATGTGCATAAATAGCTCTTGCCCTATCTACTTCTCCTAATTTTGTTTCCATTTCAGCAAATCTTAAACACATTTCTCTTGTATTTTCATCATTTAAAACTTCAATAGCCTTTTCGTATATTTGTCTAGTTTTTGGCACACCATAAATATCTGCTGCTTTCTTTATATATATGTTAAACATCTAAAAACAAAAAACAAAAGAATGTATAGAAAGTTACGTTTGCACATAAAATTTATTAAAAATATATAATAAAAAAAATTACTTCGAATCTTTCTTCGGGTAAAACTGCACTAGTCGCTCGTTCATATACGGACATTGCGTGCCTAGCTAAACCATGCTCTTCTTCCAATTTTGCATACAATAAATATAACGCTGAAAAAATAAATTTATATATCTTACTTATCATTTTGAAAGGATAAAAATTTCTTAAAACATACATTATTAATATTTTATACGATACCTTTAGCGTATTTATTTGGACAGTGTTCTAAACATTGCTCGAATAAATCACGTGTACGTTCCAACTTTGTTCCACCATAACGTTTTAAAAATTTGGTGAGATATGTATTCCATACATCATATACATTAGGCCATTTAAAGAGCGCGATTCCTTTTTCATATGCCTATATTTAACATATATAGAAAATATATAATATATATAAATAATGTATACAAGTAAAGAAAAAGAAAATCTTAGTGAGAATGATTATGTTTACCCTAAAAGCTTCCTCGAAATAATTATTCTCTTCCAAGAACAATCCATAGTTAATAATGATTTGAGGTGTTGCTATTTTTAAATCTATTATTTTATCATATACTGCCTTGCATGTCTATGTTTTAAAAAAAATATAATTTTGTTAAAATATATTTTTTATAAAATATTCAAGTTACATACCTTGAATGTACCAAAACTTTCTTCTAAATCTGCATACATGGACCACACTTTTAAAGATTTATACAATCTCATTTGAACAGTTTCATTTTCATCGTGATATGAAACTTTACGGAACGGCATGGCCGTAGCACGATGCATAAGTTTTAAAGCCTCTTTACAATTCCTACAATAAAGTGATGCCTTACTACTTAGTCCATTTTCTTTGTGTAGGACTTTCAGATGTGGAAAAAAAAAAAAAAAAAAAAAAAAAATTCTTACCCATGTCTGATCTCCATTTCTGCCCATTCACACCATACTGATGCTAGATCATCTACCTTAGTATAGGGGACATGAGTAGCTCTTTCAAATATAACTCTGGCATCTGCTATTTGACTATTTTCTTCATAAAACTTGCCAAATGCAACCCACAAAGTATGTAACTTGCCTACTGCTAATTGTGGTTGCACAGTTTGTACTGCTTCCGTATATGTATTAATTATCTATAAATGCATTAATTATTCGAAAATTTTTTTTACATTATGCACATATTTTTATTATTCTCTTACCTCGTGCGGCTGTCCTTCATAAAGTTTTACTCTCTTATGCCACTCCTGTACGTTATGAGGATTTTGTCTTAATAATACCGAATTAAGTAATAACAATCTCCTTTCCATAAGATGTTCAAATCTTGCTAGACGTAACTCTAATTCTAAATTACCTATAGATTTGAGAATAAAAAATTATCACGTGACATTTGTTAGTTCTTACATTAAATTTATATAATGTTTCTGTTTTGTACGCACCCTCCTCTGTTGAAATAACGGTTTCATCTTCTATACATTTACTAAGACTTAATTCTTCAAATTGTGCATATGCATCAAAGACTTGCGTAAAGTCTCTGACAGTAGTTACTGTTTGTATAGCTTCTTCATAAATATCTCTTGCCTAAAAGACAAAATATCAATATCATGAAATGAACACATTTTTATTTTAATTTATTATATATATATATATATATATATATATATATATACTAATGAATGATTACCCTCTCAAAGAGACCACTGCGAACATAATAATCAGCTAATGAGTTCCATAATGGACCTAACTGATCGGTGTATCTCCTTAAACCACCTCTGATAATAGCATCTACGTTAAGAGATTTTATTTTAGAAGGATTTTTTGATATCAAATTGCACAATTCATTCCACAATTGATGATTAGATTTTCCATGTTTTGATACAAAATCATCCTGATTAACAATTTGTGCAAGTTTTATAGCTGCTTCATCAAGCCTTCCAATAGATATTAAATATTCAATATATTCCTCTGTGTCCTCAGGTGCCAACTACAATACAATATTAAAAATCTTAATTCCTTACGAGTTATATCCTTTTAAATGTAACAATTTTATTATGTTTTACCTTCAAATATCGCCTGAATACTCTGACAGATGTTTCGTAAACATTATGTTTCTTCAAAAAGTCTATGTAAAGTGGCCATATACGATGATGCTGTGTAATTGGAAGTGCTCTAAGAGAACGATCAAATACTTGACGAGTACGCGTTATGTAGCATTGTTTTGTCATTAGTATACAATAATCCATCCAAATACGTGGCATTTTATGCATAAATACCAAAGCTCTTTCAAATGCATTATTTACATCTTCATAAAGAGGATCTGTTATACATCTTTTTTTTAATTGGCTTAATCGGTGTCGAAGATAATTATACCATAATTTGTAACTATGAATGAAGGATTAAAAAGAAAAAAAAAATGTAGTCTTTAAATAAAGTAACAACATATTGAGCGAATGAAAGATTATACTACCTTCCAGGGAGTTCTGTCAAGGCACGTTCATAAACCATATTTAAATTATTACTTTTTGTATTTTTCAAATGATCGATATAACGCTGCCAATGTTTTACGGAATATGGATTTCGTAAGATTTCCTCTTCATAAGGTAAATCTTCATCGTACTGTAATATGCATAAAAAAATATAAATAATTTTAAGTTAACCTCAATTTCATTCTAACGGGTTTTAACAGTATATCAAATATATTAAAATACTTACAAAAGTATATAAATTTCCTTCAGTATCTTTTCGTTCTATCATTTTAAATAATAATAATCACGACTAATACAATCAAGATGTCAAAGCTGCACAATTTGGAAAAATATTGAAAAAATAATTATACAATAAATGATTCCGCTATCCCGGTACCGGCCATGATAAAAAACGCCATCTGACGATTTATTTCACCTTCGTCGGAAAAGTAGAAATTTTTTTTCTTTTTTTTAAGATTAATTATTATCAAGGCAAAAGAGAAAAATCTTTTACTTTCCTTGTTTGTTTTTGTATACACGTTAGGAGTCATGTGTGCTTTGTATCCGTGAAATAGACGACGACGATTATATTTACTTGACTTTGACCTTTCTCGATTCAGTCTTCATTCGCACTCCGACGAGGAAACATCGAAGCTCTCTCTCTCTCTCTCTCTCTCTCTCTCTCTCTCTCTCTCTCTCTCTCTCTCTCTCTCTCTCTCTCTCTCTCCTTCCGAAGGTATAAGATTAAAAATTAATACTTTTCGTAATTTTATAATTATTTAATGTATATCGTACACGGAGTATAATAAACACCACAGTAATACGCGTTAAATATATAATAATTTCAATTGAACTTGGAGAAATACATCGAAAAATTTTAATTAATTTATCATTTGTATTTATTCTTATGTATTTTTATTTATAATTTAAATATCACACTTTTTATTGGACTTACGCTCATCATATATTTCAAAATTCAAGATATTCTATATGTCATAGTAAAATTATACAAAATATATTTTCGAAATAATGAATTACGCAAATTCTAATTTATATAAATGCAGAATACGAATTATTTGAAAAATAATAATATCTCCCGAGTGTTATATGATAGCGTATATAAAAATAATAGAAACATAATTTAAATTATGTACATGATGAAACATTTGTATTATTAAATGAAATTAGAAAAATGTAATTTTAGTATTATCTCGTCAAGTTGTTTCCTACGTTTCTACGTTCGGGTCCTGCAAAAATTATTTAATAAGTATTACTTTTAATATTAAATGCGTCTGCATTTTTCTTACCAATAAAACTTAATAAAACAGGTAAAAAGATTAGCCCGTGCGTAGCACCAAAAATTACAATTCCCAAATACATTCTAAAGTAGAAAATTTGAAATATTTTGCTTTTCGCAAATGCCAATACTACGATACCCACAAACTTTGTTAAAGTAATACCAGAGAAGACCTAAAATCAATAACTTTCTATTAAGCGATATTTTCATTTACTCGAACATATTATTTTCATTTTAATATCATTGATTTTACTTACGGAACTTCCTGTTAACAAAAGTGCTTGTGAGGTACGTGCGATTCTTTCATTCTCCGTTGATATTAAATAAGTGTGTACGATATGACTACAAAATTCGACAGAAATTCCAGCAGCCTGTGTAAATAATTATATGTTGTATAAATTTTTAACATTTAAAAATAGAGGAATTTGAGGGACATTCAATTAATACTAACCATAACTAAATTAACAAGAGATACTGCGTTCAATTGTATATTCCACCAATACATAAGACCACCTAGATTTATAATGATCATCAATACTGTAATGACAACGATAATTGCAGAAAATAATGATATTCCAGTCAATAATAACGTTACAATAAAAATCACGACCAATGACAAACTTATAGACAGGTACGTTTCTTTCCAGATTGTTAAATATTGTTCGTAAAAAACGTAAAAAATACTGAAATTAATAAAATCAGCAATGTAAAAGATGATAATGATTGAGATAGTTTCAACGTTCTCATATTTTATAATTATAATTTACCTGTATGGAAATACTGTAATCGTCTTATTACTCAGGTCAGCGTTATTAATCATTTTTGTAATATTAGCAGCTATTATTCGGGCGGCTTTTAATGATTCATACCAATCTCTAGACTTTTTTAAGGGCGTATGATAACCCATAAAGTACGTATCACCGATATCAGTCAAACCATAACGATCGGAGTAATAATTGATTGCCTAGAAAATAATTATTTAAGATAAAACATTATAATGAAATCTTTATTCTAAACATATGTTATTATATTAATGGAAAATTTTACGTCGCGATAGGAAGGTCGACCAGCTTTAGCACAATCTTCATCCGGAATATCAGATACGAAGTAAGAGATATATTTTCGAAAGTATGTTTCATTTAGTCGAGAAGTTTCATTGTCAGTTGGTATTTTACAGAGCTCGCATGTTTCTAAATTGTTACATATTATAAAAATAATTTATATTTTTGTTAGACATTATTCGATTTTATTATATTTTAGATAATAAAATGATCACCTATATTGTGAGGACAGAAGGAACTGTTGCTGGGAAAATATTTGCAGCATTTCTCGATAGTCGACCAATCGAAATAATCGTCTATCCACGAAGAGGCAGCTTTCGATAAATACGATCTGGAATGAAATAAAATTATAAGTTTCTATTGATTTATCATGAAATTAAATGAAATAAAAAAAAATGCGATCGCTAACATAGATGACTGATTTGCTGCAGAATATATTTGGGTGTATAGAGAATCCACGTTACATTTTTGACCACCGCAAATTATATTTTGAACACTGGTGTTGCTGTAATTTAAGCCTTCCGTTACTACGAAATATACAGGTGGTCCCATAGATAAAAGATCCTCCATATACTTGAAAATAATAGAATGAAAAAACACAGAAAGTAATACGATTTTCAAAGTAAAAAATAATATTACTTTTGTAATTGGTTATTATCTTGATGTATTACCTGGAAGTATTTTAAAACATATGAATCTTCAGGCATTGATAATTTTTGATCTAAGCCAACTTCGACGTTAGAGAATACAGCGACGTGAACAATGAACATTGCCATGAAAATGAACAAAACGGCGATTCTAATTGGTTTTTTCATAAGAAACGACGTATAGAACTCGAATAGAGCATGAACTAATCCAACTTTATCATATTCTACGTGTGATCTTTTATTTGTTGGTATGCAGCAGAGCAGGTCTAATCGAGTTTGCTGAAAGAAAATTAATTTTATATTTTAAATATTACTAATATCAATCGCGTTAAAGATAGTTCCTTTTGTCTTTTTGTTCTTTTTCGCTTTGTATGAGACATCTACGTTACCTCTGATCTCCGGGAATCCAAAGATAATAAACTAATAAAAGCGGTGATTTGAAGGATGAAATTGATTAGAATGGACAAAGATGCATACATCGCGAATGTATTAACTGCTGGCATAGATGACAATGTACCTAAAATCATTTATTGCAATTGTCGTATTATTTTCATCGTACATTTAGATTAATCATCTTTTTCATCTTACCAATTAAAAAACAGAATAATTCCGACATGCTTGTTAATAACATCGAAGGTCCAACCTTGGCTGTGATTTTACCTAAATGTTCTGGTATTGATTCCTCTGGATTTTTGCGATTTCTTTGATATGTTTGTACCAAAATAAAAATATTATCGACTCCAACGGCCAGTATCAGAAAAGGAATTACCTATGTACAATTATCGATATGAAAAACTTCATATTCTTCAAGAATTTTGTTTATGTAAAAATTTCATTATTTTGTTTGTGTAAAAATATGATAAAAATATGATATAATTACCTCGATCGTAAGCAAAGTAGTGGGTATACCAATGTATCCGAAAATTCCCAATGAAGAAGCTACCGATGCGATTACTATAATAATACCACCAATACTCACAACAATTTTACTCGTACCCTAAAAAACAATTTGGTTGAAAAAACAATTCGCTGTTTTATCGTTATCGAATTTATGAGTGTGTATATATATATATATATATATATTTAAGATTGATGCATTACAAAATATTTTCTAATGGAGCCTCTCATTCTTCCTAGAGCAAATGAGATATAGAGGAACATAATTAGATAACTAATTATCATTGTCTTCACTTCTGCCTTCGACGTTCTATCTAATTCGTCTTGAATAGATTTTTCTGTTACGTAGGCCACATCCATAAAATCAGGTTTATCATGTATTATCCATTCCTTCATAAAATTGATAAACCTTTGTTCCACAAAAGAAAATTTTATAAACGAAATTTTTATTATTAATCGATTTCTTTGGTGATTATTTCGATATTATTATTATACAGTTATAATCATTTATCAATTTTCAACAATCGTACGAATATCGAAGGATACGCCTAAAACTTAGCTACACTCCATACTCTATCGACAATTTTTTTCTAACCCTTATATTAGGCAACATCTTCACACAAATCAGTAATCAAATTTGTTGCCTATTGTAAGGAGCTTATTGTAAACCCCTTATAATAGGCAATGCCTTCGTACGTGAATGTAATGAGGTGTTGCCTAGTAGGAGGATTAAAAAATCTTATTAATAGATGACTTTTTACGACTATTGACAAAGTATAGGGTGTTATAATTTTCTTTTCTGTTTCTTTTTTTTTAAGCTTATACTGTAAAGTAACACGAAAAAAATACCTTTCTTCCCATTTGATAACGGGCTTAAGTTTTTCCTCGTCCAAATGATTATTCATTAAAAATGACAGAATCAATCCGTTTGCTTTTATATAATCCGAAGAATCGTAATGGAATTCATTTTTCTTTAAAAATCCGCCAACTGCTAGAGCAGGAAATATTGGCCCTTTGTATGGGGCTATGCACTCCGGATTAAATGCATTTCTGAAATATATTTTATATGATCAACATTCATTCGTAGTAAAACATTTATTTTCTAACACTTACTGCATGCACTTGTAAAGATGATCCAAATAATTGATTTCGTATCCTTTAATTTGCGAGGTTTGATTAAAAACTGATATATTGTTTTGAAAATATCCCCATAAACTTTGCACTGTACAATATGATACAGACATTGGACCAAGAAAATCACTGTAAACGGGTGCATAACAATAATGTTCTATGCCCTCGTCAGTTTCACGACCAAGCTACGAATGAATGTGTACGAATAAATGTTAAAATTACAATTGGCAACTTAATAAATTATCTACCTGTAAAACTTTCTTTTGAAGATCATGAACAGCCAATAAAAATGTCTCGTTAAAGACTGACCCGTATTCTTGAATGCCATTCGACGTATTGTGTAAAACCTATAAGAAATTTCGATTAATCTTCGGAAAGATATCTCGGATAAATTGTTGTAAAAACTAGGGAAAGACATCGTACGTACCTTATCGATGCCAACAGGCTTTATATAAATTTGTTCGGTTCTATAAAATGGGCGGAAATGTGTGTCAAAATAATCCTTCTCTATTCTCGATCTACTGTTGGGCGATGCCCATATTTCTATCGGATTCACCGTTATGACGAGATACTTGAAGCCATAACTCATTCCCAAAACCGCGTAAGACGAGATGAACAACGAGAGAATTGGATATGTCGCAAATACTGTTGATTCGTACGGCATTACGTTAATTTACATATATGATATTTTAAAAAATTGCTTTACATTGATAATAATGCGTGATCGTTTATCGGAGTTACCTTTTCCCCATGAATAAAAATATCCTTCGAAGATATTTCGAAAGATTTTATTACAATCTTTTTTTGTTCCCGAATAATTTTCATTATTATGGAAATCTGTATGAAAAAACGCTTTCATCAATATTTGACGATGAAACAATTAATTTATGAATAAATACAATACATACTTAACATCTTCCTTTTTAGTAGATACGAATAAATGGAAGTAGCTATGATCGTAATCAGTGCGATGAGAATCGCAGCAATAATTCCATAACCATTTTTACCCAAGATGATAAAACTGTTAGAATCGATCGTTAGTTTCGTTACGGGACAAGCTGCAGGGCAATCGACGCAACTGCAGCTAAGCGAGGAATTCTGTTGAAGAAAGAAAAGTTGGGTGTATTTAATCGAAATGTTATGTTTAAGTATACGATTTTAATTAGGGTAAAATCTTGATTAGTATTTTTTGAAAACTCACGTCGTAAGGCTCGTTACACGGTTTGACAACTGCGTTCCAAGGATCATTGTGCCAAATATCCGGACGATCGTAAATGTTATTAATTTGAAAGGGTACGAAATTATTATCGGTTACGCTGTTCATAAAGTTGTACCATCTTAAAGAAAAATAGACTATGCGTCACGTATTTTTGTATAGAAATATGTAAAAGAGGATCTACAACTTACTTTCTTGGCGTGCATCTGCTCGCACCGTGAGAGCCACAGGCTAAATCCATCGCCAAACCACCACTGGACGGATTAATTACGTTTTTACACGATTCAAACGTTTTATTTATAAATTCTTCGGCCACGTGTATCTAAAATGAAAGCATGAATTTTTCTGATTTTATGCTAATCGAAATTAAAAGTCAATCGTTTGTTTCTTTTTTCTTCGTCTATCTTCTTTAGTTTCGGCAGAAGATCAGATCGTGCGAAAAAAAAATAATTCCATTTTATGTCATTCATATTTATTAATCACCTCGAGTTCGACGACGTAATAAAAACCATTTTCATTCATTTTGGACTTAGTGACGTTCATAAATTGGCTCTGATTCATACTGCAAGAAAAATCACATATGTGTCGAAAGAGATTTTTTAAACAGGTGGTACATCTTCCAAAGACACCTTCGGCCATATTCATATTCGCGTTGATGGTAAAAATTTGCTCGGCATTGCAGCAGGTTAATGGATTGTCTAGCAAAGAAACGAACATGTCGCAGGTGATCATACGTAAAATGGAAAATTTGCCAAGAGAAATTATACTGACCGGTGTTCTCGAACAAATGTGGACATCTTTTTCGTAGGATATTCGTAGCCGTTTCATTGCCGATTGATCGAGCAGGATCATTTGACACGCACGTTTGTATCTTCGGACCGTTTTTTCCACATTGACCGTACCAAACGCAAGTATTTCGCCCGTCAGTTAGCACACACACATTGTATAACGCGATTAAGAAAAAAAATAGATTTAGAGTCTTCATAATTAATACGGATAGAAAAGAAAGATCAATCTCTCGGTAGAACAAAAAATCTCTTGCGACAATAAAATAGTATCATCAATAAAATAGAAAACTTAGAAACTAATGAAAATTATGTTGAGCGAAAAAGAAAGAAACTAAAAGAAGACAGATTACGTCGTTAGATTTGTCTTCATTCTTGATGTATTTCTTAGGAACGATCGAAAGTTATGCCCGCGTTTTGACTCGCGTTCTAATCGAACGTTTAAACGAGCCGTTTCATGTTCTCGATATCAGGTCAAAGTTTTATACTTGAGCGAGACTCCTTATCTCGCAGGTGAGCACTTTGATGGACCGTTTATCAGCGTCAGCATACTTTTCTTACAAAGTCTTTACTTTTCTCTCAACATATACACGTTCCCTACTACTGTTCTATGATTTTAAACATTAAAACGTATAAAAAAATATTATTAATTGCTTAGAACGATAACTTTACGATAAGCAATTCTCATTTATTTTTTATCAGAACATCTAAAACACCTGCACGATTTCGTTATCACTTTGTCGTCGAATCAGCGATAACATTTATTTCTTTCTTAATCTACGTATCAGTAAAATTTCACCTTCCAGAGAATTATAATATATATATATATATATATATATATGATGTTATATAACAAGATCGATAGAGGACAAATTTTTGATTAATGAGAAAAGCATTATTTTACAAGTTGTTGTCATTTGTTGTAAGTTATTTGTGCTTGCGGACATTTGTATTAATTTTTTTCTTTTAATATAGGATAATACAAAAAAAAAATATATATATATATATATATATATAAAAAGAGAAAGACAGAAAAGCAATAAGTCTCCATCTTACATTTGTAACAAAAGTCAAGTAGGAGTAACATTGAATAAAAATACGCCCATAATTTCCATAATGAATAATCATATTTTAATGACTCAATGATTGTACAAATGGGTCACTCTTAAACGTCTCCGCTTAACCGAGGAACAATAACAATAAATACAGCAATCATCGTAATCATAATATTCATTACTGATATATCGTTACGTAATTAGATGAAAACGGAAACGAGATTCTTGTGCTGTATTTTCCATTCATACGTACAGTTAAGATTCTTTTCACTTTGGTTCATCATTCAACGTTTTACATCAACGAAAGGAAGAGATTTTTCTTTCGAAAGACTCGTTACATCGTCTCTTTACATAGCCTTAATCTTCGTTTCGTTATCATTCGAACCCCCCCGTCCCCCAATATTTTTCCCCTATCCCCTTGTCTACCCAACCCTTATGCCCTATTTATATAATCTACTACCCCCAAATCCACTGAGTTTTACAAGACGCGAATCGCGTTTTCCCTCAGTTTTTTTCTCTCCTTTCTCTTTCTCTCTCCCTCTTCCTCTCTTTCCCCTCTCCCTCTCCCTCCCACCCCTCTCTCTCTCTCTCTCTCTCTCTATCTCCCGATATATTCGGTGTCCATAATTATAATACCGAAGGTATCGCCATATCATAATCAAATATATTATGTTCAACGGTAGCGATAAAGTTTATATCAATAAAATTTCTGGAAGAATGTCAATAATGTAATAGACGATAATCGTTCGACGATCCGTTGCGACCGGGGCGAAAAATATGAAACTCGGTACTAGGCCAACTATTGGGATACGTCTCCGAGCTAGAGATTTTATTATCAGCGAGCATTCCTTTAACCGCTCGTCCTCATCTTCGAGATTCCTCATTTAATGTTTTAATCGAAAGAAAAAGATTCACGTAACGTTATCATATAATCTCTCCTATACGTTATACTCGTCGTTTTCTCTATAAATCCGAAAATGTAATTGAGAAAAATTACGAGAATATCGCTATGAAGAAGAATGTTTCTTTCTCTCTCTCTCTCTCTCTCTCTTTCTCCTAGATTTTCTTACTTCTTACTCGAATTGAATTGTCATCGAGTAGAGCAACTAATTTTCAAGCCTCCTGCTTGATTTCTTTTTCTTCACGAGTAGAAGGTGTCGGAATACTTTTTCAATGCGTGCACCTATACGTCGAGTATAGATAGGAAAAAAGTATCCGCACCGTGAAACGTATCGATAATAAGGCCTAAGCAAAGAAAAAAATAATTGACAAATGAGATCATCCCTCTTTCTTCGATCTACGAAAGACGCGTTAGAGATCGCTTCGTCTTCTTTTTTTCTTTATTTCTTTTTTTTTTTTTTTTTTTTTTTTTTGAACTATCCAACAAAGAAAAAGAAAGCTCCTTTTGTTCTATCTATTATTTTTCGTATCTTTTTTCATTTGAATTATTCATTGATTGTCGTCTCTCGTGGAATAATTAAGTGCGAAATCAACAACGAAATTAAATTCGCTAATCTCGATCGCGCAATTTAATCGCCCGTATTTCCTTCACCACAACGTTCAAGATAGCGAAAGTTTAGCGTAATCAAAGGATAACGTTATTCTCGTAGAGAGGTATCGATATCGGCTATTGAAATTAATAGTACGATGAATCGAAACTTTTTACTTGACGTTGAATCACAAGCGATTTTATCGACGTATTCTACCGTGTTTATCAATAAACGTCGAAGATTCAAGCTAGGGACTTATCGAAGCGTTTACAATCTTCGTACGTACGCCTCTCTCTCTCTCTCCCTCTCTCTCTCTCTCTCTCTCTCTCTCTCTCTCTCTCTCTCTCTATGTTTCTTTATTATTTTATCGATCGAATGGAAATTAACCGAGTAATTTTTTCTCGGATGACGATGCTAATTTTTTGTCCATCCATTTTGGGACGAGAAGAAAAAGGAATGTCGACTCCCGCTCGGAGACGCGCCTCGACAGAATTTATACAATAAAATTTATATATAGTAGATAATGCAATAATTCGAGCAACAGAAGGTCCTTCGTAAATTCTTAAATCTGCACGTGTGTGTCGCCTATATTAATTAGTAAGTAGGTTTCTTATTATTTTTTTTTTTCGCTGTCAGATCTTAACCGATGCCTTAATTAGTTATACTTTGTGTATGCGCGCTTGTGTGTGTTTCCGTGTACGTGTCCGTGATCGCGTGTTCATTTGCATGTACGGTTTGAACGTGTGTTTAAGTGTATCTTTATATTACATATCGAATCATCGTCTGCTTCAAACTTTTCATACTCGTCGCATATTTCGCGAACATCTCTCTCTCTCTCTCTCTCTCTCTCTCTCTCTCTCTCTCTTTCTCTTTCTCTTTCTCTCATTTTTTTTGTTTCCTTTTACGAACGTTTATCTCTACGTTAAGGTTTCTTAGACCTTGAAATTACGTACTAAGGACCTCCAGTACTCCACGATGTTTTCAGCCTCTAGTGTCTTTTCTTCGTCAAGTTCCGTCAATGTTTGACTCATCGACGTGTTTCACATGCTCTCTCTCTCTCTCTCTCTCTCTCTCTCTCTCATTCATTTTTTCTCCCATCTTTCTTATTTCCTTCCTTCCTTCCTTTCACTTTTTCTAGGATCGACAATACGGATCATTATCGCGCAATATTCAACAAAACTCTCATTTGGATAGTTTTCTTTATCCTTTTGTTTTCCGTCATGCGATTCGAACTGACTTTGAGAAGCATCGAGATGGAAAATACATGACCATGAATAGCAAACGTTTAGAATCTAATCATCCGAGAAAAAATAACAATTCTTCCTGTCGATATCCTAATATCGATTGACAACTATTTCTTTTAGTTGTAGAACTTTATACGTAATTATTATACAAATTACAACTGAAAAAAAAAAAAAAAAAGAAAAAAATAATAGAAAGAACCATTCAATAATATATAAAAACAATCGACGCTACTCGTTGTCAGAGATTTGCATTCCAAGCATCTCATCACGATCCTCGTACACCCTGTTTCTAATATCGCGATTTGACAGGCCTTTGTGAAACCGGGCGTCCGATTTTAAGGAAGAAGAAAAGAAAGAGCTTGCACTTGATGGAGCGCTTTTTATCGATACCAGACTCGGCCGATCGTCAATAATGGATCTATAAAGAGAACTGTATTTCTTTTTAAATCGATCTCTCTTACTTTCGTGTGAACGCGACTTTTCACGTGAACTTGAAGAAAATAATAGCACCCGACGTTAAAAAAAGAAGAAGGAGAAAAAAATGATATTTAGTCGTTAAAAAACGTAATGGAATTTCGATAGAGATTGTCGTTTGTGCCATTTTAATTAGAGAAAGCTCAACGCGTTATTCAAGGGGACCTGCCTGTTACGCATCGAGATTTACGATTTTACAATATTTATTATTTCGCACGTGTGCGATCATGTCTTCTCAAATTCTCTGATAAGGATCGAACAAGGACCGAATGTGTACACATCCATTGGAGTAAGGCAATAATCGATTACTCTTCTAATTAATTTCGTAATGGATCAATATTTTTCTTCGAGATTAATCATTCATTTGTAATCGATAATCAGTAATCGGTAACCAATAATCGTGAGAAGAAAAAAATTTACTACGATCTTCATGAAATTTTGGAAGATATCAATGGATGCTAATGGCGTAGAAAATAATTATGTGTATTTTCAATATTTAATGCATTGCTAATTCTTTCAGTCGATCATAATTAATATCGTAATGCTTTTACGATTAATTATTATCGTTCGTTTTCATTATTCATTAATGCGTTACCGATTACTCAATATGCTATGATTATCGATGATTATTAATTGATTATATTTTGCCCAACTCCGATACGCACGCGTAAAAATGAAATTTTCGTTGAGATCCGAGATAAGCACCGACGACTTTGTACTGAAATGTGCCTGCACATGTACCGTCTCATAAAAATATACGCTTCGTATTTGAGATAGAATAATCTAAAGTAAAATGAAGTGTACAATCTCAAATGGGCGTTCTATAAGCTCGCCTGTACAGAGAGTAATGGCCTTTAAATATCGCGAATATACATATAAGTTATGTCTGTCTGTCTGTATATATATGTATATGTATAGATCTATTAATAAATACATCATAATAATTACATCACCGACGGATACGCTAATAATTGACGGGATTCTACGAGTATCGATTAAATATCGAATGAGCCAATTTATTCGTTATGAAGTCTAATCGGTACGGAAATCATAACGACGATGCTCTCTTCTGTATTTTTATTCTTTCTTTCTTGGTTTTTTTTGTCTTTTTTCTTTTTTTTTTTTTCATTTTTTGCTTTTTTTTCTTTTTTTTTTTTTCATTATTAAGAGATCCTTATTTGCGAGTATCGTTAAATTTGCGTTACACATTCGAGTTCGAGATAACATCGAGTTTGATATTTGTTCCCCGTAGATCTCGAAGAGCAAAAATAAAATGTTCGTATTCCCTTAGAATGGAGTACGTTAAATACGAAATTTTCATTTGGCATTATAGGATAATAAAGAAAAAGAAATCCTTTTTGGTCTGGATTTGTCTATGCAGATAATATCCAAGACGCTTTGACGAGATCGGCCGACTTCGAATCACACTAACATAATCGCGTGCTCTCTTTCTTTCTCCTCTCGTCGCGCGCGGCATTGTTGACCGACTTATATAATATATATGTATGTATGTATATATGTATGTATTATATTATGCTTACGAGTGACGTATCCAAACATCAATGTCGCGCAATCATTTAATTCCTAATGTAATAACGATCCGAATCGACAATGTCGAACAACGCTTTTCTCCCCATTTTTTAATTTCTCTCTCTCTCTCTCTCTCTCTCTCTCTCTTCTAACTTTTTATTTCTAACTCTTCCTCTTTCTTTTCTTTTTTTTTTCTTTTTTGTATTTTTTCCTTTATTTTCGACGAACGTAACAAAAGTGATAATAATTAATTTACGAGAGAAATAAGAATGAAAATCGTCTCTACGACGTCAGTCTACTCGCCACGCTCGAACGGAAGATCGACCTTGCGAATTGTGCGACGACAGTATATATCAAAGTCTGAGTATTAAGTGTACTATCAAATTCCATTAAATTACTAATTAATTCCAGTCCATCGTTAAATACTGGCTGACGATCTTCGGCACGATTGTCATGGCAAGGTTAAAAAGAACCAAACTGGCAACGACGAACTCGAACGTAGTACATACCTACATATAGAAATCTATCGCGACGTATGTACGGCCGGAGTCTCGACGATCTCGAAGAAAAAATCGCAGAGGATAACGCGGATCACGTGGATTAATGGGACTCGAATTATTATAATACATATATATATGGGGGGAATTCCTCCTGTCGATCGTAGGAACGAACTGAATTCTAATCTTGCAGCGTATCCCAACGAATTAATTTATAGATCATTGGATCATTCATTTTGCGAAACATATGTCGGTAAATTATGAAAGTGTTCTTGATTGGAAGTCGAAATTGATATTTATTATATGGACAAATCATGTTTATCGTTCATCTTCTTTTATGTCTTAATCCTAATTATTTCGTCGGATCAATTTCATAATCAACGACACATATATGTTTACTCGAATATCGACGTTAAAGATTTTTCGTAAAAACAAATATTGCAAGGGATACGAACAGAGATTTATCAGACAGAAACATTTCCTTGTCTCGCAGAGGAATCCTTGCGGTGTGCTCGTTGTTTCTTCTTTCTTACTTTCTCTCTCTTTCTCTCTTTCTCTGTCTGTCTGTCTATCTCTCTTTCTCTCTCTTTCTTTCTCTTTCTTTCTTTTTCTCAATTTTTTTATTTATTACCGACAAAGAAGATCACGCGATTTCGTTCGTTCGATAGAATCGATTCGGCGGTTCGGCCGTGCCACGCGCGATTTCCCTAATTAATGTCATCTATTAATCCAAGTTATGTGTTAAACGTGTATGCGTGTCTATAAGTAAGAATGTTTGCGCGAAACGAGTCCGTGTAGATTTGTGTGTGTGTGTGTGTGTGTGTGTGTGGCTGGTTCCATCTCGTTTCACGCGCATGTTAATGTGTATATGAGTGTACGTATATGTATCCGTATGTGTGTATCTGTATTTTTATATTTATATATATTTTTGGTTGTAGGTATTCATCTATGTGGATACTTTCTGTCGTCTAATTTACACGAATTAATCCTTCGATATCGGCTTAAATTTATTGTAATACCCATTAACAACGTGTTTATATATCAGATGTCGTTTAGTTCTGTGCCGATGCTTTTGGTGTTCCTCGTGCTCATTCGTTTCGCAGTTTAATTTATCAGTTTTCTTTTACTTTTTTTCCTTTTTTTTTTTTCTTTCTTTAATAATAAATTCTATGAGCTCCTTTAAGATTGTTTCCTCTCTTTCGTTTACTTTTGCTTCTTTTTTTTATCTTTTTCTATTTATTAATTTTTTCCTTTATCACGTATTACGACGAGCTCAGTAAGAAATTCGCATTCGACCTCGTCTATCCAAACCATTTCATTTTTTTTTCTTTTTATATATTATAAGTAACGTTAAAAATAAAGTCTGCTATATCGGTGAGGAAGTCCGAGTTCGAAAGCGAGTCAATGCTTATTCTCTCTCTCTCTCTCTCTCTCTCTCTCTCTCTCTCCCCCTTCTCTCTTTCTTTTTCTGTCTTTATTTTTTTGGTTTTTTTTTGCGAAACTAACCCGGGGAAACCGTGGTCGACGAACAATAAAATTCATAAACTTCCCCTATCCCAACTCCCTTAGTTCCCATATGTATAATACATATATATATATATATATATATATCTATATATACGTATATATTATACAAATACATAATCATATATATATATATTTGTATATATAATATATATGACTTCTTTTAATTGATTTTTTATATCGCTATAATTACTCGGTACATCGTCGTTTTTCTCAGATCTTTAAGACTTGTCCTTCGTTATAGTGTGTAATAATAATGATAATAATAATGATCATCGGCGTGACGACGATCACGATAATGCCAATGGCGAATACTAATAATTATGATAATAATAATAACACTAATGATAATAATGATAATAATAATAAGTAATTATAAATAATAACGATAGCGACGATGATGATAAAAGTAGTAAGAATAATGACAAAATACATAATGACGATAATAATAATTAAGTTGTAATTGTAAGGACATCATCATCATCATCATTACAATATATACACAGGGTCGATCGGCTGACGCTCTGCACTTTGCCGTCCACGCGGAGAAACACTTGTGAAAGTGGAAGGAAGTGTTATCTCGTCTTTTTTTTATCTTCTTTCTTCTTTTTTCCCTTTAACGGCGATTGAAAAAGGAAGTTACCCTATCAGAGTAATATATTACGTAGGAACGTAGGTGCGGAAACGAAAAAGGGACGACAAAGAGTCTCGCATGCGATGCGAGAGCGTTTACGCGCTCTAATAATTTATCGCGCTGGCGCTTGATATTCCGCTTCCTTCTTACATTCCCCGTGAATACTTTTCGGTTCACGGTGATTAACGTTAATGATGTTTTTCGAGCGGCAACGATACCGTATCACGGATGGACGCGCCGTCGGACAATAAACGGAGAGAAACCGGATCGCGAGTGACACGATCTATGAACGCGATCGAGCAAAGAAATTGTCGACGTAAAGTAAAAAGTGACCGATTTATTTTCTCGTGATTTCTCTTATTGCAAACACGAGAATTCTAATTGAATTTTATTCAAATACGTGTGTAATAATGGTAAATAATGTCGGACATTTTATGTTGCGTAAACTGTGATACGTAAAAATACGTACGTATTTTGGGGGAATGGCGAAGATCGTGCGGCACTGACGATGAGAGATGGCCGACGACATAACGTTGTTGTTACTTGGAAGAGCAAAATGAGAAAAAGGAAGAAGTATGTGTACCACATTTTGCAGTAGGAGGAACGGATTTTCTCTTCGTTTTGTTTCGTTTATGAGTATCGCGTGGGCGGCGAGCGAGATTTCATAATTAAATCACAGGCTAATTAACCTTGGTGATAACTTGATGTGTTTCTTAGCCTTTTTTACTATCAGCCTCTCACTCTCATTTTCTCTTTCTTCTACTCTCTTTCTCTTTTCTTCTACCCTTTTACTTGTCATCGTCTGGCCTTATGCATTAGCAGAGTAATCGTTCGTTCGATAATTCGAACTTAACAGATACTTTATTTAACGAGTTAGTCCCTGACTAGTTTGAAACTTAAACGTGATTATTAAAATTAGATTGTTGAGCACAATTGCTGATCTCTATGAGAGATTTCCGTGAGGCGCTGTGGCTCGAGGTCATGTCCGTGAACTCGCCGGCCGACTTACCCTTTCTTGGTAACGTCGTCGCCTCCCCGAGCGACGGTAATTCTCGGGGCTTCCAAATTGGCGAACCTATGCAAAGTATGTCATTACATACATATATCCGTATATATATATAGAAGTAATTTATTACCAAGCGTCTTACCAAGCTCTTTTACTGCAATGGGTTGATAATTCTCTGGCTGATGAGAAGACTGAATGAGCCTGGCTTGGCTGCCAGTACTACCTGCGGAAATGGTCGAAGTAGTGCTCAGTGTTAAATGATTTGGTGTACGGCCCAGATTAGTCTTCTTCTCGCCTAAAAAAGCTTGAGAGTCTTCTTCTCCTTCTGACTTCGTCCCCGAGTCCATTTCAACTTTTACTTCGCCTAAATTCGAGATAAAAATGACGATATCAATTCAAAATAAAAATAAGTTTAAAGAATTCGTACTTTACCTGAAGTATCGCTTATGGTCTTGCTTCTCGTACGAAAGATTATCTGCTGTTGACTTATAGCTGTTTCCTCCATATCTTTGTCTTCCGAACTCTCATGCTCCACCGATTGCTTAGAATGACTGTACTTTCGCTTGGCATTGTGCGAATTGCTTAACAATTGCTGTTTTATAGCTTTTTTCGACAACGTTCCCGTAGCTACTATCGTGTTACCATTGCCATTTTGACCTTGCACCTGAGCCGCTTGCTTTTCAAATTTTTCTACATGGCCAGTCGACATACGAGGTGCGATCGTAATCGGTGGTTGATTTAGATTTTGTTTCGTCGAAGGAATGCTCATATTTCGGACCGATTCTCGTATGATTTGTCGAATTGTCTTTAGGAACGCATTTCTAAATTCCGTCGTACTGAAAAGGTACGATATTATGTCCAAAAATAACGTTAACAAGATCGTTATATCGGATAAAAATTATTAGATAACTATAAACGATGAAACATACCTATTGGAAAGTACATATACTTTTTCCGATCTTCTCTGTAATTGACTTCTGAGATGTATCAACTCCCATAGGAAATGCGATTCCATATCTTTAGCTGAACTGGCTCTTACTTGAACTTCGGTAACGGGAATCAAAACTTGATAACGAATTATTTCCACCTCGCTGGAATTCGCTTTCGTGGAAACTCCCTGGAGATTATTGGGTAAATTTTTTACTAGATCGTTCGCATAAACATATATATATATATATATATATATAAGTCTACTCTTCAAATATTACCATGAGCTTTTTCTTTTGTCTTAATCTCTCCTTACACAGGAACACGACAGCGGATTTGAAAACGAAACACATGGCGTGCAATTCCAAGCCTTTCTTTATCTTTCCAAGAAAGTCCGAAATGTTTAACCACTCGACACCGCCATAATACAAAAGATCTCCAGGACTCAAATCAATTGGCTGGAGAAAGCAAATTTACTGGTGATGCATAGGCACGCGTATGATATTATTATAATTATTATTATGTTTTATTAACCTGTTTGCAAGATTTTTGATGTTGCCTAAAGAGATGATCGAAAATAGCTCCGTATTCCTCGTGAATCCTTTGCATTTCGTTAATGTGCTCCGCCACTTTCTCCATACCTTTAAGGGCCTCTGAAATCGATCGCTTTAAGTAAGTACTATAATCCAATTATATAATTCCCTATTGCGTCTATTACCTATCAAATGTTGATGCTCTTCGCTTCGCTCGTCTGTGAGATTTCTAAGTTGTTGCAAAAGCAACGGATATTTGAGTATTCTTTGAATGGGTTTTATCAAGTACGATTCCAATGTCGAGGAGTGCTGCTGACGCGGATTTCTCGCTTGCAAAAACTCTTGTAAAGCTTGATTTCCTTCGTCTATAGATAATAATTGAATTGGTTCAGTGAGTTTGTAATTATTAATATCATAGATCCTTACTCGTAGATTTTACGATTACACTCACTTGGATGTAAAACTTTTTGGGCCTTCGAATGGCTGGCGCAAAACGAGCTGTACAGCTTGAAGTGATTTACGTAATATAAGAAGGCACTTCCAATGGAAAACAGAACACCCTATAATAAGGGAAACGATTGAAGATCATTTTGATTCGATCAGTAATCATACAATCTCTTTGTTTACCTTAAATTGACTAGGATGGTCAAAGCTGTTAAAGTCCGTCTCCATCTCAATTGCGTGATCAAGATTTTGCAGGAACTGCCGTTGAAACGTGACTATCTCCTGGATATTTCCAAAAAGTGCATTTATCTCGGCGTTCGATAGGAAGGTCTCGCGTTTAAGGGGCTCTAAATAGTTTTCCAGCAAATTGTTTAAATTCTATAACACGAGATATCATTGATTAAAAATATAAAAAGAAAAAAAAAAGATCAACACTCTGACTCATCTATTTTAATCGTACCTTTACGTAAGTTCGTTCAGTCTCGATCAGTTCTAATATCACTTTCTTTAGTTTTTCAGCGTCGCTCAGCTGCCTACTTGGTGTTAATGCTTGCGAATGCGTACTCACGACGCTTCCGGTGGGACTCGACTTTCTGGTCTCACCGGGCGATCGGCAAATACCCGTTACTTGTTCCGCCGTTTTTAATAAATTCTCAATCTCGAATGAATTCGTTCTTGACGTTTGCTTGCCATTTTCTATGTGCGAGGTCGTCGTACACTCTTGCATGAGACTTTCTTTGCCTGGAAAATCAATACGGACAGGATGTACCTATAGAGCGAATCGCATGGGGAATAACTCGAATTGATCCTTGAAGGAGGGAAAGGAAATATTTCTCGATATAATATGTTGACAAAGAAAAAAAAATTTTGATAATTAATGTAAATTGATCGAGCGTATTATCAAATTGAAAACCGTAATAACGAAAGATCCTGTGGATCAAGATAGAATTTCTCATGTTTCGTTGCGCATTATAATGTTTTTGCACGTAAGTTCTATTTTAAAGATTCATCCGCAATATGGAAATGCGACGAAAAAAGTCCGAAGGGAAGATATAATTTTATCGATCTCGAATCAAGGCCCAGCCGTTCCCGCGTTCTATTTTTTCTCTGTTGACGGTCAAAGGATTATCGTCGCTTCATTAGACTCTGAACTAATGAGATCGTTACAGAGTGAAGAACGAAAGGCCTCGAGAAATATGGATAGAGTGTCCTGCAATGCATGAGGACATGCAATGTATAAGAGACGATATAAAATTAAAAAGACTCACTCCATCCGGGAGCTGGTACTATCAGGCCGGATATCATTTCCTCGCTTATGACTGGTGGATCGGAAGGTGGAGGAGGACAAACCAGACTTTCGATGATATCGTCGGTGACTCTCATGATGCCGGTAAGATCCGGTGGTTCGGTTCTCGAAGATCTCATCATCATACAGAGACCGACTTCTTCTTGGAGAACGCTTTCCAAATACATCATATCCAAGTCACTTACTATTGCACCGTTAATCACCATTATCTCATCGCCCTTAATAATGCCTGAAAGTATTACGTTACCGAATGATGCGAAGGATAAAGCAAGGGGATTAAGATAGACGCAGGAAGAAACATACTTAGGGAATGTGTCATTCCATTTTACTATGGGCCGTTAAAAGAAGACCATGAAGAATAAATAAGCACTATAAGAGCTTGTATGTCAAAGCGTATTCCGATAACTTTGTTCAAATGTGCAGTAAAGCGTAATGAATCGGTCTTTCTCAATGACATCGATATACGCGCTGCCACTTGGCACGATTAAAATAATATCGTTAAGGTCGTTTCTTCTCACACTCCCGCATTCCCGAACATGACCTTTAAAACTCATGTTCGTTGTGATATTAAATCAAGACTCACCGTTCTGCATAGCCACACTTTTATCTTCGACTCTGCTAACGTAACAGCAAAGCTCGTCCTGTCGATCAGAATTTTCGATGAGTTCGGCCTCCACGGAGAAACCCCACATTTGTTCCAAGGTGTTCCTTTGTAATTCCACCTGATACAAGATCTTTGCGCAGACCTCGACGATCTCGTGCGTATGTAACTGAAAGCAACGATGACGAGAAACATTTCATGTCTAAGATAATTTTCTGTCCTCGAAAAAGTTTCTCCCATAATTATCGATAACTTACATAAGTTTCGATCAAGTCGGTTCTATGTGGTACAAAATAATTGTGGTCCTCCATGTCACGTCGTTTCTTCACCCGTACAAAGTGTTCCATCGGATTGAGATTCTTTCTGTTACAGGCACTCGCTAAAAATTCTTCTACCGTCATAGCATCGCGTAGAAAAACCGAAACAAGCTAGAAACCGAGGAGGCAACGATCAGGATGTGACATACTCACCATTTCCACAACCATTACCACAGGCTATACTAAGAATAATTACCTGATTATCCGGCACGGATACTTTAACAGTCTTCTCTTCATCTCTAGAGGATATTTGGAGTGACCTTCGACTAGATCCGCTGTTCGACCTAGATAAAAGTGGTGGTCTTCTCTTGGTAGCGCCACGGCCGGCTAACAAATTGTTCAATAATGAGGGACTTCGTGCGCAAATGAATGCATGGAAGGACGACACGGTGAAGACACCCAATTTGTTCAACGTCTGCTTCGTCGCGCGAGATACGTGTGTCAGTAGACTCTGTTATGAAAGAAAAAGATAGAGAGAAAGAGAGAGAGAGAGAGAGAGAGAGAGACGGAGAGATTGAAGTAATTGTTTTTGAGACGAGCTGGAATTTACGCTCAGCGTGCCTCGTCCTCTTAACTTCGACGATGTTAATTTATTGGAAATTACACAGCTACAGTTCCTGTATGTTCTATTTACGTTCGGTCGATATGACTACGCGCATCACGTTTACTGAACCAGGATAAATCAAAATCTTCTTCTGCAAAAGTTTCTTGTTCCCTTGTGCAACAATAAATCGTGTGAAAAAATACGAACAAAATTGAAGCAATTTTCTCGCTATTTCGAGGATATAATTACTGACCTTTGGATTAGGTAATTCCCCGCTCTGCAAACTGGCCATATAACATCTCAAACGGAATTGCTCGCAATGAAGACGTTCCAGATTTTCTTCCCACTGTACTATTTGATTGTTGATTTGTTGCTTCGTCTCGACGTCGGACACGACGGATTGCTGAAGATCGGCCATGTGTTTCATCTTATGATCCTATATAAAAGAGATTAAGCTGAATTTCGTGAAAAGCTCGAATTAAGCCTGACGCAGAAAGGAAATTAGCCCTACCGATTCTATCGCCTTTTCCAAACGAAAGATCTCCTCCTGCAGAAGATGTAAAGTCCCGGTCTTACCACGATGACGAGCGAATGCGGCTGCACAGGCAGAATGTATGCTATTCACCCAGTTTTCGAGTTCTACTTGACACGGCGCCTGTAAATTAAATAAGACGCATTTTTTTCCTCCCTCTCAAGGAGCCATTTCAGAAAGAAGAAATTATGCGCCGCAAACGAACGAACGCTTTTCTTCTTTTTTCTTTTTTTTTTTTTTCTTTTTTATTCTCGTCACCTGAAAAAGATAAGCATCGCCGAAAGCGGTGCTCAGGCAAAATATGTAGTCTCTCTTTGGGTGCTCCGGAATTGGCTGCATAATAGCACCATCGACGATAATTAAATGCTTAGGTGCCGCTTCCATGGCTCTACTTTCTTGCGAATCGCAAGGGTAGAAAAGAAGCGTGGTCCCTTTCAGACAGACCCAGTAACCCTTCCAGCCTCTTTTCCTTGCAAGCTCAATTTGATGCTTCTTACGTAACAACCATTTCTTCACGCTGAGGAAACTGCGAATCGACAAGATTTAAATGCTTTTTCGAAATCTTTCTACGATTACGACCGGTATAGAATCCCCATGGACTCGGAACGATATATGTAGACTCGATTGGATTTTATTTTTAAATTGTAATATTTCGAAATTCAACAATTAATATTAATTTATTTTTACGTATGTGAAATAGTAGGAAACATACGTTCTCTCAGTTCCATGTGGATAATAAACTGTAACATTAAAACATTATTTTTTTGTTTCTTTTCTTCTTTTTTTTTACCCTGCTTTCCTAACTGCACCGGTGCAATTGAATGAAGCCGCAGCAGTTCCAGTTTGTTTTCCTCGATAGGGCGAATTTATGACACTTTCACCATCGTCGTCGTCGCTGACCGCGGTCGTAAGAGACATTCTGTCGTCGTCCGACATCTAAAAGAAGAAAAAAAAGTCTTATCCATTCGAAAAAACGCTAAAAGCTTTGGCATGTAGGATTTACTAATCGTACAAAAATTTCGGTGTATAAGTGTAATCGTGTAACGTGTGAGAACATTTTTTAGATAGGTAGACGGTCACTTTAATTTGTTTAACATATAGAAAGTTGTAAAGAAGAAAATTTAAATAAAAGACTCGAGTGGGAAATAAAGTTTAGAATTTCAGAACACAGAAATAAAGAGTAAAATAAAATCTAGGCGGATATCGTGGCACTGCTCCAGGGATGTGTCCTGTGCATCGATAACGTGAATGGTTGATCGTTCGAGCGTGCAAAACTTGTACAACAGGGAATTCCTAATTTCGATAATGTTGCGCGAGATATCTGATAGGAATGAACTTCCGAACATGCTTCCAAGATAGCTCGTCGTGTTCCACATCGGATACAATTTTCGGGGGTAGAGAAAGATGCTGAAAAATGGGAAGGAAAAACGGGAGAAAGAGTAAAAATAAGTCAGAAGGAAGAGCTAGAGAGAACGTAAGATAAAGATATATCCGAAAGAATAAAAGATCATTTCGCGGGGACTCACGTCTCTACCTTTTTAATGGTGTAAGTTGTAGTTAGTCTTTCGCGTAGTTTATCGCGTATTCTTCCAGGGCTCACGGTGGCCCAGAAACTTACGACTTTTTTGAGAAAGTCGGCGTTGCACGCATCCGCCGTAATGTGCGGATGGTAGTGACAGTAGCATCCCTCCTTCAAGAGCTTCATGTTTTTCTTCGCGGTGCCGTTTATCTTGAACATGATATCCCTACGGGCTACGCTCAGACCGTCGATATAATATTGCGCCCAAGTGTTCAACGCACCGTTAATTATTCTGAGAAGTTTGTGATAATAGCCTTCGCCAAGACCGTAATTGACCTTCTCCCTGACGCTCTTGCAATTAAACCAATACAATTTCTTCCACTCATTTATCGATATCACGCTGATCGTGTGACGACGACAAAGGCAGTAATATTTCTTCGATTGCTGCTTATACAACGTCTTCAAATCCGTATAGCTACTGCTCAAACTCAACAGATCCAGGGTACTATTCATGCATTTGATCGCCCATCTCGGCTCTACCATTATTCGTCGTTCTATCGATGCTTTGATTGGACGAAGAAAGAGAGCTTTTTTGGGCTGGATGGATCTTAAGAAGGCCGCTCAAACGTGCGGTTTTTCACGAATAATTCCTGGGTCGTCTGATGAATGGACTCTCGTTCTTCCATCCAAAATGAAGCTTTCCTCTTCCATTTTATTGTCTTTTGGACGGTAGAGGAAACGGCGGTGTTTCGCTCGCAAAATATGCCCGGTACACCGGACTAACTTTCCTTTTAAGCTCGATGTTCGCGAGTATTACTCGTACCAAGTAAGAAGGACTTTTGTACTCTCTATCTCTTAGAATCACTTTTTTTTTTGCTTTATTTTCTCGGCAAAGGATAGACAAATTCGCGATGTAATGTCTACGAAGCATAAAATTCTCGATCCTTGTCGCATAACTCGACGATTTGTTGTACGAAAGCCTCTGCCACGGGTTCTAATTTTTTCGTAAGCGTTCTCAATACGCCGATCACTATGGTAGATGTGAAATAAAAGACGAATAGTCTGTACGCGCGGAACATGTTACAACTTCCGTCGAACTAATTATCTAACGTTCCGTATCTCTTTGCTATTTGATCATCCTCGTTATCATCACCGACGACGTCTCGAAAAATTCGACGATACATCGTCGTCTATGTATTTTACGTCTTTTTCAATTAAACGATCATTCGTTTTCGGATAAGGCAAATCTTCTTTGCACTCTTTTTTTCTAAACTCGCTACGCTATTGATCTATCCTCTAATGTAATCGTGCAACGTATATGTATCTACGTACTTGTGTCTGTGTGTGTGTGTGTGTATGTGTGTGAATATATAGATATATAGATATATATATATATATATATTCTAAATTTTCTCTAAGATACTCGTACGAAGAACCTTTTATAGACAAAACGGTCCTCGTCGGTACTTATCACTGTCGATTCGCCCAAAAGGCTTCCTCATCGAATCTAACTTTAACTAACTTTATCAAACCGATCTCTTTCTCTTTCGTTTGTCCTCAAAGATCATCGGTATCGCTTAGCCGCTGCAACCTTTTCTGTCAACGAGTCAAACTTCTCCTTATCAGCTTTTATGGCTGCTCGCGATGACGCAAAATGTTCTTTTAACGCTCTTAAAAGTAAGTATACAGAATATTTTGTGCAATACACACATAGAAACGAATTTCTCCGTATAAAAATAGGTATGTTGCGTCTTTCGCGATATCACGTTTCTTTCTTTGTTTTGTATTTTTTCTCTTTTTTCTTTGATCTCTTTTAAATATACATACATATACGTATACTTAGATTGTAAATTCTCGTTACCACGAGAAATAATTCCTGCTGATCGATCACGCGAGTATACCCTTCGCCTGACGAACTTTCCTTTCCTTTCCTTTCCTTTCCTTTCCTTTCCTTTCCTTTCCTTTCCTTTCCTTTCCTTTCCTTTCTTTTCTTCCTTCCTTCCTTCCTTCCTTCCTTCCTTCCTTTCTTTCTTCCTTCCTTTCTTCTCCCTCTTCTCTCGACAAAATATAGTAACGATCTTACACCGCGTTCTCTTCTACCAGCAGTTCTATCACAAAAACAACGATTCCTCGAGAATAAATTAACTCTCCCCCGTTAACACGGACTGTTCGTCTATTCTCTTCTGAGAAAAAAGTTTCATTGTCGACGATAAAAACATCACCGATCTCTAAGGCAAGTGGATAGAAGTATAAGGGAGACAAATGTAATGCAAGATGAAGATTATATATCCAGGTACGTTAGACACACACCGTGCGCGCAAACAAACTCCTCGATAGCACGGAGCAAAAGTTTCTACGTTGTATGTTCAGTTTTAAACATTCCACGCAAGCTTTAAATTTCAACAATTAACGTATAGAAAGCAAAAGCAACGAATCATCGATAAAGTTACACGACGAGACGAAGCAACAGCTGCACATCCTTCGCCTATTGAGAGTTTACACCGGAACGATGGATTAAACCTTCGACGAAATCGAGATCGTGGATCACCGCGTGTGATTTAGAACAAACGAAATCTATACGTATTTATTTCGTCATCTATCGTAAGATCAATCGTCGATAGAAGATACTTCGTTCGCGGATAAACTCGTTGCAGGTATCCCCTTTCTTCCATTTTGATGATAAAAAGGACGGCAATTTCCGCCGGATATGCTCCTCCGGTGGACTTGGTGGTCCTCCGTGGAGAACCCGGCGGTGAACACCGGATGACACCTTCTAGCAATTGACGACACCGGTGAACGGATGTTTCGGGCTTGCTCGTGAAAACGACTATACTTGCTTAAGTACTCTTCTCTTATGGGAACGACGAAGGAGGAATCCTGACTGAAGGAAGCTTCGGACAAATGAGGCCGCGTTCCTGTGTTTTCTTGCGTGAGTCTCTATACGTGTGTGTGTGTGTGTGTGTGTGTGTGTATGTGCGCTTCGGGGAAAGAAAGAGAGAGAGAGAGGGAGATGGATAGATAGAGAGGATGCTGAGCGCGCGAGTCGCTTCCTCGAGCGAGTCTGCAGCGGCCGCGAACGTGCTCAGCTTCGGACTACCGCCGGAGAACAGGGTAGAGAAGCTGCTACCGCGAGGGGAATCAATACCTCGCTCCTTCTGGAGGGTAAACGAGGTGTCGAGGGGAAGGAAGAGGCGGAACAGGAGCCACGGTAGTAGGGATTGTGGTGGGAGTAGAAAAAACCAACCCCTTCTCTTCTCTCTCTCTCTCTCTCTCTCTCTCTCTCTCTCTTTAACGCGCAATCGTACCATCTCTCTTTCTCTCTCTCTCTCTCTCTCTCTCTCACCTCACCCTCTTCCTGTTCCTTCGGTAGGAAGGAGAAAGAGGGGAGAGAGAAAGCGTGTTTGGAAAGTGCTCGACTAGGAACGAGGGATGCGCTTCCACTGCGGGGACTTGGAAAATGCGGCACGATTCTTTCACGACTGTATGGATATAACAAAAGGATAAGCATAGTGCATCCTTCTAGCCTGAAATTCGATGTAGGATCGTAAATCCAGAGGTTGAAATACCAATGGAATATATCGTGTGTCCTTCCTCGATTCGATATAGCGCGCGCATCGCCCCATTTAGAGTATGCTATATACGTATACGTACATCCATATGTACGTGCATATCTATCTATGTATAGATATGGACGGATGTTTGTGCTTTGCGACAAAATTTTAATCGATGCCACTGTAGGATACCGAGTGGTCCGGGAAAGAGCGGGAGAATCGCGTTTGAATCGCGGACGAAAGCACTTGTCATTCGGTTTGCTTTATTGATCGGCCAAGAGAATAAGCATTTCGTCGATTAATTGCGAAATACGAAAGGGTAACGATTGCTTTCGTAACCTTTCGCAAAGATCGCGGAATATTTTTCTATGCGTTGCACGAGCACGCGCGTCCATTTGTGTGTATGGGAGTATGCGCACTAAGTCTCGAATAGACGTTCCGTCTTATGCTTCGATCAAGGGGGTTAACTCAATCGATTACACGCTTTGTAAATTATGTAATCTTTTAGCTAACGTTAGAAAATATATGCCATGACATTTCGCTGCTTTTGAAAACGATAGAAACGTTAGCCGTACCCTTTTCTAAAAATGCAGCGAGTTAATTGAAGGAAACCTTTTCAAACGCTTTGAACATTTTCCCCATTTATTTGTCGTCGCTTAAATTATATATAGATATAAACCGCGACCTGACTTTTATCACATTCATCAGTATTATCACTGAGCAGGAGAAAAACTATAGGAAAAAATGATGAAGAAACGGACGATACATTTGCGCATGCACCTGTTGTCAAAGACCGCCTTTTGGTCTCTTGTGAAATGGCGTTAAAATAACACGCAAAAATATATACAAGTGTACACATATATATATATATATATATATATATATATATCTGCAAATATTTGATGCCTACGGATATTTTACATAAAAAGATACACGTTATATGCATATAACCACGTAGGAAGCGACGGAAAACAGAGCAATGCTTGCAGTCAAAGGGATTGCGGTTGTCGACGGATTCAAACGAGTCGCAGACGAGAAACAAAGTCAGCGGGTTATCGATGTTTCTCAGATATATATATGCGAGCATCATCATCAAACATATGTCAACAAAAAGGAAAAAGAGAGAGAAAAGAGGAAAGCGCGTTGCACCGCGTGTGCAATGCACTCTTTCCACGCTCTCATGCACTCGCCTGTTCTCATCAATGTGCCCACAAGAAAGATGTCTACAGGTGTATGCGTTTACCCTTCCACGCGATGCGGATCAGAGAATGAGAGAGAGAGAGAGAGGGAGAGAGAGAGAGAGAAAGAAAGTAAAAGATAAAACAAACGTACGCGATGCTGACACACATATCTCTTTTTCTATTCGGGCCAATGCTGTAAGTACGAATAATGGCATTATCGATCTATTCAATTTCTATTATTCTCTTTCGACGATGATCTTAACGGGAGAGGAACGTTTCACACGAATTCTCGTGATACCGTGAACGATAAATTAGCAAGAATTTTAGTTCCTTGATTATCGATCCTGAATTATCGAGCTCACTCATAATCTAATGAAAACCTATATGAGATGTTGATTGCTGGATGCAATATCAATAAATAACTGCACTGATCTATTAATTATCGTATAATGTTTACCCAATAATTACTAAATAAATCGATGTACACGACACGAAATCTATGTATGTAAATGTTTCTGTAAATTTGCTGGCAAGCGACAAGTCATAAACTGACTCATGTGTAATTAATTTAAATACGATAGATTTGTTTAAAGTTCGAAGAAATGATGTATATGCATTCAACGACGATCATAATCGGAAAAATTTACGAAATGATATATCCTTATGATGATAAAACGTATCAAATAATTCTCGTATATCTAGGGATCTCAGAAATAAAAATGACGCTTGCTTTTTCAAGCGTAAACGTTCGTCGTCGTAGTCGCTGTCGCGGCTCATTGATGCAAACCGCCCGAGAAAATGTCGTCCGACTACAAGGCTTTAAATCGCAAATGGATGTTTAAAACAAGCAGCAGGGAGAGATCACTTCAAAGAGTCTTTATAACTAATGCCTCCACGTCGCGCCACGGTTGCTTCGAGTCGCTCTTTTTCTCGCGTTTGCCGGTTTATATGAAGTCGAAGAAGAAGAAGAGGCGAAAGAGAGTAGATGTGTCGGTAAAATTGTGCGTTTTAAGTCTTCTTTTCCTCGCGATATGAATGGTTATCCGCGTTTAAATATTTCCTGCCTACATTAAAATTATAAGGAAAAAGAAAAAAAAAAAAGAAATCACCACAAAATCCAACATCTCTCGTTTCTTTCATAATTTCACCGTTTTTTTTTTCACGAACTATACTACCGTACTACATTATGTTTCACGCTACGTTATATTTAGGGAAAGAAACATCTGAGTTATAAAAGAAAAAAAAAAAAGAGGAGATAGTTCGTTGGCAAAATTGGCCGATGTCCTTTTTAATTCTCTTTTCGCCCTCTCTAACGCCTCCTATAGAGACACGGTACTCATGTCAAACATTCGATGAGGTACTTCAGAGGAATCTTGATATATCGACACGATAAGGTCAATAGCTACTTGGATAACTCACCTCTGAAGACGTCAAGTAACAAAGCCTCGAGTCCGTGCTCTCCAAGGATGCTTGTTGAACGATTCCATATCTACCATCTCTATCGGACATATAATCGGAACGAACGCTGTCCTGTCTGTCAAAAGTACCTCTGTAACAGAACAAAAGGGTAATTGTGAAAATATCGAGCGAGATTCTTTTAATTTCTCATAGAAACAAAAGTGATAACGATTAGTAAAATATAATTTTCTTTAAAAAAGAAACAAATAAATGTCTATGTCCAAGATTGAAGATTTTTTATAAAAAAACAGACCAAGCGCTGTACAAGTAATAGACATAGAAAGTGTTTCCACTTTCTTGCAATCTCCATGTTAAAGAAGACATCATAAACCAAGGAAGAAGTAAGACGTAAAATCGTGCGCTGATGGTTTTTTTCTTTTTTCTTTTTTTTTTCTTTTTTTCTTTCTTTTTTTGTTTTCTTTTGTCGAAGATAAAGGTACGACGGTGTGTGGGCAATGTTGGTGCGTCGGAGCATTTTAATATCGAAACCGTGCGATTTTTCCATCTAGACGCACTGCAATTACAGGTGGTGACGTTTTAGAAATCGTGCCTGAAACGAGGCAGCGCTCAGAAAACGGCCAAGAAATGTGGTAAACGTGAAAGGAGAGCGTAGCACAATGAAGGTAGGAAAGACAATGAAAACAATGCAGCAAGTCGGAGGTTGGCCGGGGGTGAGAGGACTCAAGCTTTACTCCTGATGGGAGAAAGAGAAAGAAAAAGAAAAAAAAGAGAAAAGAATGCTAGGGGCTTAAGTGTAAGTATGCATTGTAGAAAAGAAGGGGTCACAATTTTATACACTACGCGTATATAATTTAAGTAATGCGCACATTCAGCCAGCATGTCTTGCTGTTGCTATTTCACGAAGTGGCAAGAGCAAATCGATCGATTATATCCTCGATCGAAAGGTGAAACTTTCGAATTGCGAACTGAAAGTTACCGTAGAACGTTCTTTTAGGTGTCGCGCAGGAAAGACAGCAGGTTTCAATCCGGCATCCACTCGTAGTATCCGTATTCACAAGTAGAAGGTGTAATAAATAAGATAGGATAAAAAAGAAAAACTCATGCGAAGCAACTCACCTTTGTTCCAAGGAATCCGTTCGATTGGACTTGTAGCCGCTATCGTTGAGACTCCCTTCGTGTCTCAAGGAGGGCAATGAGTCCCATGGAGATTCTCTTTTATGACTCGAATAACCTGGATTTATTGAACTGGATGCACCTGAACCGAGCGTCGAACTTCCGGATTGCCAACCATCCGAATGCCTAAACCACTGAGCACGTGCCGATTCCCCGATACAGCTGGCGCATCTTAAATATTCAAACGGAATGTTTCCACTTTAACGACGACGCGAACAACAAAATGATGGTTCATTTTTCATTCAAAATATTTTACAATAAAACGTAACGATCATTTCGTTCTTTCGTTAAACGACGCCGTCCTTCTTAATTGACTTTATTAATAATTTTACGTTACGTAGTACCAGCAATGCGCAAGCTTGAATTGGGTTCACTCTAGCAACCTCAAATTACATCTACAAGTAATTAACTACGAACTTCGGATATTATCTGACCTACTTAGAAGCTAAAAAAGTACCATACCGAGAATTGTAATCGCTGAGGTAGCCGCGATCACGATCCACCTCTCGTTCTCTCTTTTCCCTTATTATCTCGTTTCGATCGCTGTAATAGCCGTCCCGATCTTTGCTGTTTTGTCTCTCGTTACAATAACGATACGACAGCGGTAACGTCGATGATTTGTTCGAACTCAATCCTGCAATCGCATTTCATTACGATCTTACGTTAAATATTCCTTTACTCTCACATTACAAGCATTCGTCTCGTAGTTCCTAATTCAACAAGGTTAAATAAGAAAAATTTGGACAAGATTCGGTCTTGACATCACTTACGTCTTCGCGAAACGTGCGGTGTGCGTTGAACGTTCAAAGGGATGTTCTCAGCCAATTCTGAAACGATGAAATGGGATGAATTAGGATTCACGAGCGAATCTTCTTGTTTAAACGAAATAAAACAAAAAAAAAAAAAAAAAAAGAAAAGATGACATAGAAAACTCACCCAGGTTCTCCATACTCTGAGTCAGCAAAGCCTCGAATGTACGCAAGCTATAACTTTCAGCATCCATGCCCTTGGCCAGAGTATTTCTCAGATGTCTTTCGTATTCTAAAAGAAGCCTGCTGGTAGGGCTTCCAGGTGTCGAAACCGATTGCATATTTTGCTGTTGATATGTCTGGCCGATGTTGCAACGACGAGAATTGCAATGATTCGGTTGTTCCATATCCGAGTTACCATTGGAAGAACTCGGTGTTGTCGCGTAACATTGATTATCGAAAATGACGTTATCCGAAGGCGGAGACATATCACCTGTGCACCGATTATGTTCCGAATCTAAGTACGTCCTGCCTCTGCCGCCTACGACAGAGAGGTGCTTCATGCAGGGATTGGAAATGGTGCGCATTACAATGGTTGAATGATCGACGAAGGCGTGTCTTCCTAAGAATTACTTTTAACCTTAAATGTTATTACAGTGTTGACCTTAAATGTTGATAAAAAAAAAAAAAAAAAAGAAAAAAAAAGGAAAAAGAAGATAGAGAGAAAACAACAGCGGGAAGAAACGTGACGGACATATTGCGAATACGTGTTATATAAAAGGAAAGACAAAGTGATTTGGTGCAATGTCAGAATATTTAGATTATTGCAAATAATTCAAATTTGATTGTATAAAAGATCGTATCGCATTCGAGTAATAAAATAGACTTTCACGATGCACACATGAGTGAGAGCTTATCGACGACAGTAAATCATTCTTTTTGTGTTTTGCAAGCAGTGAAAAAAGTGAATTGATTTAGTGCTCCGACGTTTAAAGAAACGTGCTCTTGTCTTATTTCGTTTGAAATCCGAATAGGTAGGTGTTAAGAAACACATTGACAATAATAATTTGATTTGCGTGAGAAAGAAAAACGCCGAAACGTGTAGATTAGATATATAAAAATGTCGAACGTATACCAGGATATTGTTGACCCATGTCGTGAACACTTCTAGAAGCTTGAAACTTGTTGTTATATGGCGCACGATAAGGATGCGAATAATTCTCGTTTTCTGCCTCCTGCATAACATACTTCTGATTATTATTACTCGGGTGATAATGATAGCTATGATGACTATGCCTCTTTCTCGTCATTTCGGGTGACGTCACGGGACTATCGATGCTCGACATTGGTTTCAACATTCTCTTCAGCGTATTAGAATCTAAACTGATTCCGCCATTCTGTGCGTTCTCGATTCTCATGTCGTCAGTGCTCTTGCTCTTTAATTTTCGTCCGGTGTTGTTGTTATTCACGATATTGAAGATGTTACCGTTCTGCATCTCCATTTCTGTGTAATCGGCCGACTTCGTGTGATGAAGCTGCTCCTTTCGTAAGGTTTTATTTTGAAGCGTACCACCTGCTTGCGTCCCTTCGGATTTCAAAGTTTCACTACCGTTCTGTTGAGTGGATGTGTCTTGACTTTTTTGTGACTTCTTTGGTGAAATCGTCGAACCTTTTTCTTCCGGACTGTCGATCTGCAAATACGGCATTCCAATTATTGACAATTTCAATTCACGATAAAGCATGAATATAAAGAAATTGACCTGCGATCCAACAGTAACCGTTCCAATGCCAACGTTCGCGGTCTTTGGTGTTGTCTGACACGTCTCATTCTGTTTCTCCTTCGGCTTACTCGTCTCGCTACCCTTGGGCGTTTTTCCTGGCGTTGCATTCGCGTTGTTAACATTATCGTACAACGACGCGCTCGATGTGGCCGCCGTTATTTTCTCACGGCCTGGTTCTATTTCCGTTGATCGTACCATGGTTCTTGGAAGCGTCGAAGCACCTACGAAACGAGAAGAGAAAAGTTCACGCTGATTCGCCCTATGAAATAAGGAATCGATCGAAAATATATATGAATATAAAACGTACTACAGGAACCTCGATATCTGGCGTCTTGATTTCGTAATCTGGCAAATTGTTCCGGGGGCATACACGTGCACTGAGGTTCTCTGGATCTGCTAGGCGATGCAGGAGTAGAGACTGGCTTTCGACGCGTCTTGATTTTCTGCTTGTTCGGTGGTTCGAGCTTCAACGAGTAAGAAGAGGACGCTTTCCTTGAAATCTTGAACGATGGTGACTGCGTGAAAAATTAAGTAGTGATTGCAAATGATTTGAGCTCTTTTTTTTTCAAGCTTCGCCGTTCGTCCAATTGCAACGGTATACGTTGTGCGCAATCACACTTAAGATAGTTTTCTATCGAAAGTTTCGAATATATGAAAATGAATAAGCTTTACGTAGTCGTTATAAACTTACGCAACATTCTCTAAATTGTTTAGCGTCTATGGGGGAAGTAAAATTCAAGCCCCATGTATCGTTTGTCATAGTATCCTTCCAATAAACAAAACAGTCTGACGCTTGACCGATCCTCGTACCTGCAATACCAAAGAGAAAATAAGAAAATCGAGAGATTTATTCGTATAATCATAATAAATGTATCATTTGAAAAACTGTCTCTACGTGTCTGCTATATTAACGAGTTTACCTGGTTGTACCAACCGCACGTCTAAAATCTTATCGACCTGACTGTTGTATGCCGTTATGTGGAAAACACATTCCGGCGAATCTTGGATACAAGTGATGTTAACAGGAACTAGATCCTCCGAGACCTGCTGCCATTTAACAGTCCCGGCTCCGCTGGCACTCACATGGAAAACTTCGGCCCATAGCCTAAAAACTCTTTTTATTACACACCTTACATCTTGTTAATAATATTATCGACATTGATACAGTGTCGAATATAATACTAACAAGAGTCGGAACAAGAGGATAGTATCAGTAGTCGATACGAAACATTAAAAGAAACACATAATCGTTTATCAATAATAAAAAAAAAAAAAAAAAGACAAAATGAGGATAAAAATCAACATTATTTATCGTCGTTTATTGTCATATTTCTTATTTATGGATGTAAAAAGAATAAGGCATTATTGATTAAACTTCATTAATAATTCATTAAACTTCAACATATTTTTGTTACTTTATACCTATATATTTTATAATTAGAGATTTAGGTATGTACTATTTATTTGTTATGCATTAGAAATATAAATAATGGTTTTTATCGTGAAGAAAAATAGTTGATGAACATTCGGGAAAGCTTATCATCGGTTTCTTATCATCGTTAATATTAGGACAGGGCATGCACATTGAATTATTAAAACGTGCATTTTGATAGATTTAATTGTAATTAATGAAAATTTGTGATCTACATAAATGCAACAGATAGACTACTTATTTTTTATATGTTGTTTTCGAGTGTGAATAAAAAAATAAAAAGATATGAAATATTCACGCTTTTTATATGCAATGAGAATATATTTAAGATGCAACTAAATAAAACTACATGATACTCTATATGTAGATCTATAGACGTATAAAGCGCAAGTGTATAGATGAAATGGAAAAGGAGTTACCATGTGCGTGTAAGAGTACGAAAATATAGAGAAGACAGTGTATGTAAAAAGTAGTAAAACTAAATATACTTCTACGATTATCGATGAAAAAGATCAAGAGTGATCCAAAAGTGTTACAATGATTTCAATCTTATCGATAGAGAAGGAAAAAGACGTAGTGGAAAAAGAAATGGGAAAAAAGAGCATATGACCACAGTACACGAAATATACTATTGCGTACGCTACCGTTCCGTATCTCAGTATAGCCTAAAAGCAAAATAAAAAATCAATAATTCATATACGTTATTCATTCTTTATTAATAAATTAATAAAAAGATTTCTTATGATGGATTTCAATAATCTTACATTGTTGGAATGCGGACACACACACACACACACACATACACGCACACACGCATATCTAATGATGTTTAACAATGGTCGAGTCAGGTCTCTTTTGGAACTTTTTATACATACATAGATATACCTATATATACATACTCACACATATTTGTGTATGTGTGTGTATGTGTGTGTGTATATATATACATATATACATATTTTTAAACGGAGAGAACGCTCGTGAGATGTAGCAAACAGTGGAACGATGCGAGAAAATGAAAGAAACGTACATAAGGGAAAAAGCTTACTCCAACGTTTACTACATGTACCGTGGTCTCTTAGTGAAAAAGACGAATCGTCGTATGTAATGAATGAACGAGAGAAACTCGATCAACGAGCGCGAAAGAAAGAAGAAGAGGCAAAGGAAAAAAAATAGAAGAGAGAAAAAAAAGAAGAATAGAAAAAACTATAGGCAAAGAATAAAGAAATAGAGACAAGCAAACGCGTTAGAGGGTAAAAGATTCGAGAGGATGGAGTATTTACGTGAATGAGAGACTCGACGAGTCACTCCTATAAATGGTGATGGAAAAAGTTTCGGCTTGAAAGACGAAAAATGAAAGAAAAAATAGGTATAGAAGCTGGAAGGGATAGAGGAAGATAGATAGATAGATAGAGAGAGATAGAGAAAGAGATAGATAGATAGAGAGAGAGAGAGAGAGAGAGAGAGAGAGAGAGAAGTCAGTATAATGCATTCAGTACAAGTGTGTACGAGTGTCTTCGAAGATAGAGAAAACGGTAACATGGTTGAATGGAATGGTTCAATGGTTGAATGGTTATGGTATGCGCACCTCTTCCTCTCTCTTAAGCTTCCGCACCTGAGCAAGTGGCCAGTATCACCCCTACGCCCTCCACCGCCGCCGATTCCACCCCTGGCTCCGGTCTGCCATGGGGAATCCTCGTAACGATATGCCTTTCTGATAAGAGGAGCGCAACTGCAGGACAGCTTGTTGCCCATTCTATCGCTCCTTTTCTAATTCCTCTTTCACGTCTCTCCACCTCCACTCAATACCACACCTTTCTCGCGATCCTATCCTTCTTTTACTCTCTAACCAAATATTTCTCTCTTTATTAAATTTACCTTTGTCTTCTTTATTAATCGTTATGTTACACCGTCGTTACTTTTTTC